TGTCAAGACTATTTTTAAGTTTAATTTTTTTAAAAAAATTATTTGTTCTTTAGACTAGTTATACCCACCCATAAAATCACAATTTTAAAAACATTTTTAATTTTTTTAAAAGAATAGTTTTGAGGTATACATTTAAAATTAGGATTGATTACATAATTGATCCTTTATGTTTGTGTTTTGTCAATTTTCCCCAACTAATTTCAAAAAAATAATATATTATCACTTTCGTTTTTATTTAATTAAGATGTGATCACCACGGGTTAACTTCTGTTAACAAGTTAGATGACGTGACAGTTAAATATTTTAGTATAATCACATATTTGGTTATTGTTATTTACATATTGTTTCAATTTAGTCATACTTTTAATAAATTAAAATCAATTGAATCGAATGATACCATGTGTCACTATCCATTGGATGACTAACTTTATTTTAATATATTTATTTTTCACTAATCAAAGGGTGACACCCTTTGGTTGAATAAAATAAAGCAAAGCGAATTGATGCCAAAGGGAATCAAACCTGGGTTACTTAGGAAATCAAACATGTACTCAACTAAGTCTAAAATAGAGAATATGATGTATATTTTGTATCTTAGTGTATAAATACTTAACTTAAATTCATAATGTTTATGGGATAAATTATGCGTTTAGTACCTAAACTATCAATTTTAGTTTGTTTTAGTACCTAAACTTTAATTTTTCAAAACTATGTTTAAAGTTTAGTTTTTGTTTCTTTTTTGTAATCCGTTCAAAATTTAAGGTTAATTTGAGAGAGAAAATGAAAGTTGAGGTACTAAAACGGACCAAAACTTATAGTTAAGATAATAAATGCGTAATTTACCCTGTTTTATATATTATAACTTAAAAAATATTTTTATATTAACTTATTAAATATATTTTATTATTTACTTAATTTAAAAAATTATTTTTATTTTACTTTAAAGTATATTTTAAGTTAAAATCTTTTTAAATTAAGATAAGAATAAAATATATTTAATAATTTAAAGTAATAGTAGAATATATTTAGTAAATTAAGATAAAAATATATACTTTGAGAGAATATGTAAATACCAAAATATTTAACTATATGTCACTTAATCTGTTAACTAACAGTAGTTGATTCGTTGTGACCACATCTTAATTAAATAAAAACGAAAGTAACCATATCTTAACTAAATAAAAATGAAAGTGTACATATATTTTTTTTAACAAATCAATAAGAAAAGAGAATAAAACACAAACATAAGTAATTAATCATTAGTTAACCATTAAAACTAAAATGTGAAAAGTCTGGAAGATTAATACAATGACTTGTTGCATTGGAGTGGGTGGTTGGGTTAAAACCTGGTTCTTAATGTCCACCTGTAGCATTGGGCTAGGAAACCTAAGTCAAATTGTGTGTCCGTAGAGCAATGTCTTCAAATCTTGTTCATTGCACGATCTTCTTGAGTTGCCCCTCCGACGATTCCATATTTGTAACTGCAAATCGGTTTTTAATTTCTTGGACTAGACGATTCCATTTATACTGATTTAGAAACAGACAAAATGGATTATTGGAACCTTCCTCCCTTGGAATACAGTTGGTGATTAATGCCCCTGGGTCGTTACAATCCCCTGTTGACTGGTGTCCCTGCTTCCTCTGGGTTCTACATCTATAACTACAACGTTCTTCTGGTATCAATTCTGTTTAATTGTGAAGCACATACACTACGATAGTGTTAACGATGGTTTAGGGCGGCTTGGGAGCTATCTTCTGGTGGTTTCTACATCTGCTTTTCTTCTTGCTAATCCAGTTTTTTTTATTATTATTTAATCAACCATTAAAGATCTTGGAGATTACTAGAGTTGAGGGAGGATGAATTTTAATCGAGAATTGAGGGAGAATGAAATATTGACCGGGGAGATGGGAGTTTCAGTTTCAAAGTTTTGATCGGGTGAAAAATAGGGGTTTGATCGGATTTTAGGTTTGGTTCTTGGGTTATCCCGGTTAAAATTTAATTTGGGATTAACTTGATTTCGGCTAATTTTATTGGTCCAGGCAAAATTTGTGTTCAAAATAAGTACAGAGGTAAATGAATAAAACGTTCGGTGAATTGTTTGTGAATAGTTTGTATAACATTCGTATATTAAGCTAAATAAATGAGTATGAATAAATTTTTTATATTCATTTAATAAACGAATGAACACGAACAAATGTGTATCCGGTTTGTTCATGTTCACGAACAAGTTCTTTTACAAGTTTGTTTATTGACTTGTTCGTTTATGTTCATGAACAAACTTGTTTATAAATTCATTTAATGACTATCTTAGAAGCTCATTTATTTGGCTCTCCTTTCCCTTTTACTTTTGTTTACCTTTTAAATATTGGTGGAAGTAAGAACTAAATTGAATACGTGATGAGATTTGGAGTTTAAACTAAATCTTAAAGAGTTTATGAACTAGTGTAATTTATTATTTTTCTTTAGCATGCAAATGAAACGTAAATATTAAAAAGTAATATGTAAACGAAAACTAAATGAACATGTTCGGGAACAGTAACGAACATGTTCTCGAACAATAAATAAAAGAATATGAATATCTTTAAAAACAAATACGATATTAAAATTTTAAACAAACACAAACCGAACATGAATATTTTCAAAAATAAATAAACAGACGTTCAAGCTCGATTCATTTACATCCCTAAAAGCAAGATTTAATAGTTTGGAAGCTTTTTTACAAGAGAAAATAACTTCAATGACCGAAAATGCCTTATAATATACGATTTTAACCAACTTTTTTTGGATTTGCGAAAATAACCAACAAATTCGCAACACGAACTCCAGTTTCGCAACGCGATTATCCAAATTTGCAACGTGAATTTCGTTTTCGCAACACTAATTACCGATATAGGTAAACACAACTATTCGCAACTCAGTTTTCAAATTCGTAACGCGAGTTTTATTTTCGCAACTCGAATTTCGCAACACTAATTACCGATATAGGTAAACACAACTATTCGCAACTCAATTTTCGCAACTCTATTTACCGATATAGGTAGACACAACTCAGTTTTCAAATTGTAGAATTCGGATTTTTATCGAATTTTTTCTACCGAGTTTACCTATATCGGTAATTTAGTTGTGAAATTGGCGAATTCGAGTTGCGAAATTCGCGTTGCAAATTTGAATGAATAGTTGTGTTTACTTATATCGGTAATTAGAATTGCGAAAACGAAATTCGCGTTGCGATTTTGGAGAATCGCGTTGCGAATTTGAAAGCTGAGTTGCGTGTTTACCTATATCGGTAATTAGCGTTGCGAAAACGAAATTCACGTTGCGATTTTGGAGAATCACGTTGCGAATTTGAAATTTGTGTTGCGAAACTGGTGTTCGCGTTGCGAATTTGTTGATTATTTTCGTAAATACAAAAAAAAATTAATTAAAATCGTATATTATAATATATTTTCGATCACTGAAATTATTTTCTCTTTTTATAATAAAAATCACATTTTGAACAATATAGGTGAAAAGTAAAATTCATATACTAAAAACAATTAAATACGAAGTTAAAAATAATAATGTGATTTAAGTACCAGTTGTCAGTTAAGTCTTCTATTAAATGCCTGGCTTTTCTTTTGAAGCTTTAGGCTTACAAATCAATGCCAGATAGGGAAAAAGGCTTTGGGTTTATTTCAGTTAAGGCAGGCTCTCGAGAAAGTTGATTTGAGTAGTGTCTTCTTAAACGCGCTCAATTCAAGCGCAGCCTTTCTCATACCATTGTTATTACATCATCTTTATTAATATATTTTTTAATGTCTAAATTATATCTCAAAATATAATTTAATGTCTAAGTAATTTTTTACTGACAATAGATATATAACGTTTTTAATGTTATATTTTTAAGTGTTTGGACTATAATGACCGTTAAATTTAATTGTATTTAACACATATCACGCATATAAAATTTTAAATATTTTTTTGAATTTATATTTTTTAAAATTATCATATTTTTTTAACTTTTTTTAAAATTCCAACCGCCCCGTTCCCTTCTCCCTTCCACAATCGTCGACCACTCCCACCATCACCATGTCACCGACCACAGTGAAACTCCTTTGAAACTCAAGTTCTTTATTGAAACTCTTTAAGGAGATTTGAAAGCAGAAGAAAGAAAATTAAAAATAGATAAAGAGCTTTGGCAATGGCAATAACTGCAGTGATGATGGAAGTTGGAAACGATGGTATCGTTGTCATTTCCATCTCTAATCCCCCTTGAATATCATAAACTCCGCAGCTTCAACAATCATCTTTACTTATCTAAGAATTTTGGAAATTGAAATTAAAAATCAGAGATTCAGATATTAAGGATTGTAGAGATTTAGAGAATTGAGACGACGATAAGGATGATGAATGATCACTGAACGGGCTGAGTGAGTGATCGTTTAACGATGACGATGGTGGTTGAAAATAACGGAAGACGATTGTTAATGGAGATTGGAATAAGAGATTTTAGTTTTTAAGAATTTTTTTTTAATATAATTTCGGTAGAATTTTGAAGTTTTTTCATAAATAAATTAATTTTTTTAAATGATAATTTTATTATTAAAAATTTTAAAATATAATGATATACGTCTAAAAAGTGTAATATTATTATTAAGAAAAAAAAGTACGTACTAAATCGTATTTTGAAGTATAATTTTGACACTTAAAAGTGTACTAAACCTTGAATAAGGGGAAAAAAACAAATAAAATTACTAGCAATGGATCTACTTCTTCTTGCCTTTCCCAGCTGACTTCGTCTTAGTGGGCAAAAACAATCTCACCCTTAAGCACAGGAATTTCCATAATCTCAGACAACCCTTCAAACTTCTTACGGAACTTCTCGACCTGGTCCGCGTCCACTAGAACAGCCGACCTGTTTCCGATGTAGAAAGGATGGTTCCCCCACCAAACATTCACCACGTACTCCTTTTGGGTTCCACCTGTGTCAAAAAATTCTCCGTTGCAATAAACTTTAGCATCCTCGTAGAATTCGGGGTGGATGTCTTTTTTCCGGCAAGTAATCTGTGGCCTCTATCCCCCTCCCGTTGCAGTCACCGTCTATAAAAAACAAAGGAAAAATGGAACTGGTTAAGTTGGATGATTAAAGATTAAAGATGGGATTTTGGTGAATTTACCTTGCCGTTGGACAATGAAGGGGAAGAGAAGGCTTGATTTGGAGAAATGTGTTGGAGAGATTTAGCGCCATCACCTCTATGGCTTTACTGTACTGTGTTCCAAAAGGGATAGATAAGGGGATGATGGGAGTTAAGTGGAAGATTTTGAGATTGGCCCTCCCAGGTTCTGAATTTACAGGAAAGTCTCAATGATTCTTCTTTAATGGGCCAAGGTCGATGCGCAAACTTATTGGGCTTGAAACGGATTAAGTCGGTGGTACAAATAGATATAAAATGCTAATGCACTTGCAACGGAAGGCAGAAATATTACGACAGATTCTCCAGAATCAGCTGAGTTAGTGACTTTGTGTGAGGTTTACGATGACATTGAAAAAAAATTGAAGTTTGATTCGAAAATTGTGGTTGAAGAAGCCAGAAAATCTAAAACAAGGATAAGATGGAGACTTGCTTATGCTTTGTGCAAGCTAGACAGAGAGATTGTTGACCAAGTGAAATCCAGAGAGCAGCTAACAAAGCTACAGTTTGGATTGCCAAGTAATGTAAAAGTTTCCTTGCAAATATTAAAACAAACTAAACAAGTGTTGTTATGCAGATGTATGTTAGGAGGTGGTGTTTTGATGTATTGAAAACTTTATTGTTTATGTTTTTATTAATAATATGAACCTCTAAATCTAATCTTCACGAATAAAAACAAAGATTATTTGTTTTACCACTCGAAAAATTGAATACCCACATGTCTCGAATTCGTAAATTTTTTTTAGGAGATATTATATTTTAAGTTAAATACTATCACCGTATTGAAAAATAAATAAAAGAAAAAGACCCACTTTTCGTGCCTCTCGTGACGGCTCACACGCCAATATTCATCAAACCAAGATAGATCTTTCTACTTTCTACTCTTTGCTCTTTAAGCGTTTCCACTTTCAGTTCAACCAAAATTTAAAAAAAAAAAAAAGAAGATTCCTTTATTCACTAAAAAGAGCTCTGATCTCCACAAATTTTAGTTATCCGGCTTAGCAGTTTCAGCCTTCGGGCAGTGAACCAAAGCTTGCACGGTTTATAGTTTTTCTGGGATCTGGGTGGTTAGGACTTGGATCTCTGACTTAGATGAAGTCTAACGTCGTCTCAGCTATTTGTCTGATTTTCTTCCTTGCTTACTAAGTTTCCAAATTTGCCGAGGTTTGGTCTTCTGATTTATTTATTTCTTTCTTTTCTGTTAGAATTTCCGGAGAATCGTAAATAAACTCAGCAATGGAATCGCTCTGCATGTCACTAAAGGCTAATGCCAGTCCAATTATTGTCAGCAAAGGTCGGAGTAATGGAGGTACAGTTTTCTGGGGTGAGACTATCAGAGGTTGTCTTAAAAGCAGGGACTTTGGATCACAGTTATGGAAGAGTTTGCGAGCTGAAAATGGTGTCAAAAAAGCTGAGGTTGGAGTTGTTTACTCTATCCTCTCCCCCAAAATTAATAAGGAGACTTTGGTAAGTAAAAAAAGCATTTTCAATGCCGTGTTTGATCCAAGGATTAAACAACTATTGCCAGATTTCTAACCGTAAGAGTTATTTATTTTTCTGATTTTCAGATCTTTTAATGTTGGCTTTGAATCTTTTGATTGTCAGAATTTTGAGGCAGCAAAATTTGAGACTCCAGAAGCAGACCCGAAGAAGGTGGCTTCCATCATATTGGGTGGTGGTGCTGGGACTCGCCTCTTTCCTCTTACTCGCAAAAGAGCCAAGCCAGCAGTAAGAAACCATTGTTTGTAGAAATTTATTTATTTTTATATCTTGTATTGATAGTGAACATTGGAGAAATTTGTAAGTCTCACATTGGTGGGTTTGAAGTTTTCTGTTATTTTGTTTGGTTTACAGGTTCCAATTGGAGGTTGTTACAGGCTGATTGATATTCCTATGAGCAACTGTATCAACAGTGGGATAAACAAGATATTCATCTTAACTCAGTTTAACTCCTTTTCCTGAATCGTCACTTAGCTCGGACATACAACTTGGGAAATGGTGTAAATTTTGGAGATGGTTTTGTGGAGGTAAGGCCATATTGATTTAACAATACTGCTAGAGTTGTTCGAAATTATGCATGTTATTTAGAAATCCATGTTTTTGCTAGGCTCATGATGTTAAAATAACTTTGTCTTCATGGAGTTTTTATTACATTTCTGGAAGGGTTGATGAAACTACGTTGCCTGACACAGGTTCTGGCGGCCACTCAAACACCGGGAGAAGCAGGGAAGAAGTGGTTCCAAGGAACAGCTGATGCTGTGAGGCAATTTGTGTGGGTTTTTGAGGTTAGTTGCTAGGATTTGTATTTGAGCTGAGCTGAGATCATCTGCCTTGCCCCTGAAGTTCACCAAATATGATTTATTTAAATATCAGGATGCCAGAGCCAAAAATGTGGAGCACGTATTGATATTGTCTGGCGATCATCTTTACCGTGCAGACTATATGGATTTTGTGCAGGTCCGTAATTCAACTGCTAACAGCTGAAGTATAGCATTCAAAGCCTCATCTTTTCTTTTTCATGAATGAAAATTGTACCTTGAAAAATCATCTGGCTAATCTGCAGTTATTGTTCTTGCAGAGGCATATTGACTCGAATGCTGATATCACAGTCTCTTGTTTACCAATGGATGACAGGTTTTTATCATGTTTCTTATGTCATGTCAAATATTCTAATAAAAATGTATAATGGCTATATTCTTTATATATGATTCTCTTAGTGTAACGCTATGCAACATTTCGATATTGGTCTGTATTTGGCTTTTAGATTCTTTGAACATTGCTTTCAAGTTTCTGTTGCTGAGGGCAAGAAGTATGTACAATGGTTGCTTTCTTTCAGGGTTGGGAATTAACTACACTTCATTTTGCAGCCGTGCATCAGATTATGGATTGATGAAGATAGATGGAGCAGGACGGATCGTCCAATTTGCTGAGAAACCAAAGGGCCCGAATCTTAAAGCTATGGTGCGTGCCTGTTATTATAAACCACGTTTTCATAATTGTTTCCTGATAATCAAAGCTAAAACCGTATTTACTGGCATCAGTAATTACCTCAAGTTAGTGATCTTGCTTGTTCAACATTTTACTACAGCAAGTTGATACCTCCATATTAGGACTATCAGCGCAAGATGCTGCAAGATATCCATACATTGCATCAATGGGTGTGTATGTGTTTAAAACTAGTGTCTTGTTAAAGCTTCTGACTCGGAGTTATCCATCATGCAATGACTTCGGCTCCGAGATTATTCCATCAGCTGTAGAGGAACACAATGTCCAGGCAAGTTGACTCTCAAAGAACTGTCACCTTTAGTTTTCACCGTTTACTTACAGTAGCAATCTGTTACTATTTGCAATAATGAGAACTTCTAATCTAGTGATTGAACTGCTGAGTTTCGGGCTGTTTGAATGTTTTCAGGCATATTTGTTCAATGACTATTGGGAAGACATTGGAACAATAAAGTCCTTCTTTGATGCCAATTTAGCCCTCACAGAACAGGTTGCTCTCACTTGTGTAGAAGTTTTAACCTTGTAATTTACCTATCAACAAAGATACTAAATCCCCATTTTTTGTATTACTTCTGCTAAATAAACAAAAATAGATCCTCCCTCTAAGATGCCGCCATGTCATCATGTTTGCATATAAATGTGGAAATCATTTGCCTTACTTTTCTTCATTTGGTATGTTTCACTATGAGACACCTCACTCATTCCACTCATGTACTTCTCTTAAGCCTAAACATGGGCACTTGGTATCTATTCCCTGAAAACTGATTATCCATGCAGCCATCAAAGTTTCAATTTTATGATCCGAAGACACCTTTCTATACATCTCCAAGATTCTTGCCTCCCACCAAAGTTGATAAATGCAGGGTATGATGTCAAACTTTAGTTCATGTCATGAATCATAATTTGATCATTGTTATCTCATGGCTAATTTGTCACTGCAGATTGTCGACTCCATAATTTCGCATGGGTGCTTCTTACGAGAATGCAGTGTACAGCACTCTATTGTTGGTGTGCGTTCACGTTTGGAGTCCGGGGTTGAGCTTGAGGTGATCCATCTTCTCTTTTCCATAGAAAAGCATCTAAAACGGGATTAGAAGTAACTGTTTTTCATACTACAATAAACTGTATTTTAGAAGTACCTGCTATATGATGTCTTTGCAGGATACCATGATGATGGGTGCAGACTATTACCAAACCGAGTCCGAAATAGCGTCTCTGCTAGCGGATGGTAAGGTCCCCATTGGTGTTGGACAAAATACCAAGATCAAGTAAGATTTAGATAGAAAAACAACCTATCGACCAACAGAACCTAGTTCTTGCATCTAAAACATTGCACCTGATAATCTCCACATCTGTCTTTAAAATAACTCCTCACCTGGTTAACTAAAAACTTCTTGCATTGTGTTTTACAAGGAATTGCATAATTGACAAGAACGCCAAGATAGGAAAAGATGTGATCATATCAAATGCTGATGTAAGCATCACTTTCCTTGCTTCCATGAATGTAGATAATGCTTGTGCCCTTTGATAATTTTAGTTTACTTTATCCACACAGGCTGTTGAAGAAGCCGAGAGACCAGAAGATGAGTTTTACATTAGATCCGGGATCACTGTCATACTGAAGAATGCAACAATCAGAGATGGGACCATCATATAAAATTTAGAATCCTTGGCCTGTAGTCTGTTGCATTCTGATAAAAAAAATCTAGGAGTGAAGCTTTGTATTTTATAAAGTTCCTATACAAATTTCAAATAAAGTCGAACTCCATTTGCTTTATTTATAATATCACTTCTTAGGTTCATTCAGTAATACAAACTCAAGTTTACAGCACAAAATAAGCTGGCTCATCGTAATCACATGATGTATCAAACTTTAGCTTACAATTTATTTCTAGAAGAGCATTCACCTCGTTATAAACCCTATATAAAAAAGCTAGCAGTACACCAACTTGTCTTCAACACTTAAATTATTATAATACTATCGTATATTTTCTTTATCAATTTCCTCCTGTACCACTGACACCATTTCCAGACCACCATTGTGCTCTTCTGATTTCCCTTGCTTTGTTCCATTTCTCCATGTTCCTCAACCTAACATACATCTTC